GTGCCTTTACTAATCTTGATTAGTTTCCAATCGTTATCAACCAATTTATACCATTGAAGTGAAACAAAGGTCTCGTTTTCATTGCCTTCTTCTCTAACACATGTGAGAACTTGTTTCTCATTCGCCATCACAAGTGACGGGACATTCATTTCGGTTATATTTAGACACAAATCAGACCAAAACATAGCACACAATATGAATAATTGAATAATAAATGATTTGTCAAATTTGCTCAACATTTTCATAAATAAATGTCAAAACATATATCAAATGTATCTTCAATTCTGACCGTAAAATATATTCACTTGTTTTGAATGCAAGAATTTTTTCAGTAATATTCTCGTCGATAATAGCAATTACACTGAAAGGCCTTTCAGTCAGACTTTAAGGACTAAACAAAAATGCAAAGTAGAAAATATAAGTAAATCAATATATCATATAATAGGGCAGAGACTAAAAGCCAGGTATGTATTCGTATTGCAACAAAACAATTATTTCTTGTCAACAAATTGTAGAGACTGTGGAGTAGAGAAAAATCAATCATTTTAAGTAAATCAATATATCATATAATAGGGCAGAGACTAAAAGCCAGGTATGTATTCGTATTGCAACAAAACAATTATTTCTTGTCAACAAATTGTAGAGACTGTGGAGTAGAGAAAAATCAATCATTTTTATACCTGTAAAAAAAGGTTTTTATTTCTCTATATAAAACGATCGTTTGCTTATATTTCATATATTGTGTCAAAGAATTAATTAAAATAAATATTATAATTAATGCAATTTTGTCGTAAGAATTGGTTTATTATTTTATTATATTTTACTGTTATTTTGTTATTTTATAAACATGTTTAAAGATAAATTTTGCTTTAAATGTTATAAATGCATGTTTGGTTTAAAATGTACCTTTGACAATAAGTTTTGTTTAATGTTTGGTTATATGTTTGGACACTATTAACATAAGTTTGTAATGTTTGATGAATGAAATCACACTTATTTGGAAATCAAATTAAAATCATATTAAAATATTACTTTTGAAAGATACTGCGTTAATTTAATTCCTAGGCTACAAATATATTTGCATATTCTGCATATACAGTATGTGTCGGTCGATAAGTACAGTATTTTGCAACAATTCCCACAAATTTTTAACCCAAAACATAGTCTAGAAAAAAGTTATATCATTTTTTCAAAACCGAATTTTATTGCAAAACACTGTATAATAAAAGTAAAGTTGGTATATGTATACTAATAATATTGCAAATTTAATAAATTAGTTAATTTTTTAGATTATTATAAACAGAATTATTGTAATATTTTAGTAAACATGTATTTTGTCTACAAATATAGCACATGTGATCATTTACTGACACAATTGTGATTTTGTTATCACAATATGATATACGGTATTATTATTGTCACATTATAGAATCAATTTATACCAAAATATTTTATTTTATATTAAATCTATTCATTATTTGTCGTATATTTTGTTTAATAATAAAAACATAATTTTTACATAATGCTAAAAGCATTAACTGTAACATAAGTTTTGATATCTTATAATGAATTACAACAAATTTTGTCAATAAATGAAGATATAATAAACATTATATAAGAATTCTGTTAACGTTTTATTCAATTAGTGATTCAATTATTATTTTATGAATTATAAATCAATAAATGTTTTACACAATTATGATTTTGTCTTTACTATCAATCATTTGTTCAACACATGTATTGTTTAGATTCTTGCTTTTTATTTTACCTTTTATTATGCGTATAATATATTGATTTTAATTATATATTCCTTAATATGTAATTCAATTATTTTAAATATAACTTTGAAAATAATTTCAATGACTCCCGCATTCTGTACAGAGAAAAGCTTTTATAAAATTATTATATTTTAATAACCTTTTATTTAAAAATAGTTTTTCTTTTACAACTAATAACAAAACAATTTTTGGCGTAAAATTTTACACGCATTTCAGCTTTTTATGGCATTAATAATATAAATAATTAAATATTAATAGATATCTTTTTACCCCATAATACCTGTCAATGTATTATTAAATAAATTGTTAATACATTTACTACAACTTTATAAATACAGTACAGTATCAGTATATTACCATCAGATAATAAATGTTGCAATTACTGTGCAATTAATTGTTATTATCGTTTAAATACCTAATACGAGATTAAATGATCGGTTCATTGACTTTGTGGGCAGTTATTGGGTGTCATTGAAAGAGTTATTACAGTTTGACTCCAACTCAGACCATGTCTTCAGTTCTTTGACTTTAATAATCGACTTTCTCTTCAATGAAAATATTTCATATGAATTCAAATGTTTTGCCAATATTTGCATTGAATATTACTATTAATAAACTATGCAAAAGGGTTTCACACAAAACAACTTGTTTTCAATAATTCAAACAATATTTGTATTCCTATTGTATTTTCTGTCAATTCTGTTGTAAAACATATTCTCCGTAACGACTCATATAATTATTGACAATAAGTTATTGTTAAATAAAAATATCTTTTATTCGTTATTAAACATTCTTTGTGTTACTATTAAACCACTATTTCTATAACTTATAGATTATTACATACATTATTAATATATTATAAATTATTATTTAATAATTAATTTATAAATAAATATACAATTAAATTTATATAATTGCGTTCATATATTCTTTAAAATCCAAATTAGATTTCCAGCCATTAATCTATAATAATTAATATCGAGAATCATTTAAATAATAGTAATATTGATAAGTTATCATAACTATAGTATAATTGAGAACTTAAAAGGTTTTAAAATTAGAAATTAAACATAAATAAATTTATATAAAAATACGTTAATTTAGAGTTTTATAATTAAATCCATTATACAGTACATGTATGTTAACGTGTCGTGTGTTTGGATTCATGTTTTTTAAGAGTCGAGCTCTGAATTGTCTTATAATCACAGTTTTCAAAGCGACACTTATAGGGCTTCTCTCCCGTATCTAAACATATCAATAAAAACAACACTCAAATCAATATCGACTAAAATATGTTGTTTGCATGACTTACGAGTCCGCATATGTCTGACAATGGCATCGGATCTAATGGTTCCGTATTTACACTTCGGATATTTACACTCAAACCAATTGAGATTCTTCTTCGACACGTATTGTCCGAAGCGTTTGTCAATCGTTGTCTCCTCAACGCTAAGAGCACTCAAATGATTCAAATGATTCTTATGGATGTGATGCTGGAGTTTGGTTCGTTTGATGGACTTATAGGTACAGTAGTCGCACTTAAAGCGCT